CCTGCCACCTGGGGGGTGGTGAGTAGCTTAACACGGCAGGCCACAGGCAGACCTGCCTAGACAAAAATCTCATCCTAGGCAAAAACTAAGTTATCAAAGACTAAGGGTTATCTTGCTTATGTTCAACCTTTCTTTTATTCACTTTTCCCCTCTTCTGTGTTGCCCCTTTTATCATACTCTAGATCTTTATTATGTGCTTACCTATCTTGCACTAAGAAACGCTCACAGAAACACTTGTTCAAAACAGAAAAAAACATAGAAACATTCCAAATGTCCATCAATGGGAGAGTGGATGAAAAATTACCCAATGTAATAAAATATAATAGACAAAATGAACAATTCAGCAGCACATAATATTAGCAACATAATAAGTGAAAAGCCCCCAGAGATTACATATATAGTTTGATAATAACTGTATGTAAAGTGCTCACGATGTTCAATAAATAGTATCCTCAAGAATTATTTATATAATCTTTGACAAAAAACTTTGTCCTGGTTAAAGGCATTTTATTCATCAGAGAGTAAAGAAATGGGAACTTTCTTCAAGGAGAAGTAGGCTTTCCCTCAATCTTCCCTGAGAGCATACAAAATAGTCACCCAGCAGGCTTTCTATTCACGTCAACAGAAACTCTGGGGAAAAAATAAGACTTTAAGAACAAAGGCAACACAAAAATTGAGAGGAAAGGTATTTTAAAAATTCACATGCCTTAGAATTTTAAAGCGCTGACATGAGTACGTTTCAACTAAACTGTAAGATATTTTGAGACAGGACATTTCACATTTTGATTGGAAGTTGGAAAGGTGGTCTCCTGAACTGGGGAAGAAATGCTACTTAAAGAAACTTGTTTGAAAGAATAGCAACTACAAGTGGATACAGACAGGAATTAAGTAACTGGCTTGAGGCAGAGTTTATACTCAAACCTAGATTTGTTTTGTCCAAAGCCTGTGTGCTCTTTTCATATTCTACTCCATAGCTGTTCTGACTCTTGGGATTCATTTTTCATTCTGCTTTGCCTTAGTATCTCATAATTTTATTTTAAATAGAACTGTTGCTGACTTTTTTTTTTTTTTGGTCTTGTCTTTTGATTTTTCACTCTATCATGGCACATAGTTTTAAATATCCTTCAAAAAGTTGTATTCCAAGCTTTACTAGTTTAGTTTGATGATTTGATATATATGCCATTTAGAGTTTTAACAGTGTGCAGAGGGAGAACCAACAATTAAAGGAGAATGTTTCTATAGCAGATTACATGCAGTCTTTTCAGTTCAACTCAACAATGAGTCAAGGGAATCAGTCTGACTGGTTTCCTTCCCTTTCCTGAAAAAAACTGCTAAGTTTTACGATTATGATACAACATAATAAGTTTAAGTCTACTGAAAATTCATTCTCCTTGTTTAACTTAATTTTTAATCTAGGTTTTCTGACACTATTTATTAAGTATCATCTGAACACTTGAATAGCATTTCCTACTTCAAAATGTAGGAAAGAAAACCATGCCAAGCTCAAACAGAGCATCTTATTAAAAGATAATGTTATTACTGACAAAGATGAAAAAGGTACCCATTAGCATCTGGTTATAAAGAATTATTATCTGTTGTAAAGTCTAATTATTTATACTGTTCAATATTTCATCTAGACAAGAAGTTGATGGGTAATCCCTGTAGACAGCACTGGGGAAAAGATGAAGATATCAGCACATTCCAACATCTGTCTCCTGAAAAGAATTTTTAAAATATGACACATACGAAACAAAACAAAACCATCACCCATTCCAGTAGACCTTGAACACCTAGAATAACTTCATGCAAAACCACCTTTAAGAAGAATCGATGGATTTTTTTTTTTTTGAGGGGCTGTGCTAGAGGAGATAGGAAAGGGAAGCAACTACTGATTTTGAAAAACATAAGAAATTCTAACTTCAATTTATTGGCCTAACCTTAAAGACACTTTTAATTCTACTTACTAGAGATAAGTAATATAATTTCTTAGAAACTCCAAAGGCTGGGGAAACAGAAGAATCTGGGCTATACAAATGATTTGCTAATTCTTATTGGTGGGACTTTTATTTGAACACCATGTGTTCATTTATTCACTAGATATTTATCAAGCACGTGCTATGTGTCAATCAAGATGCCAGGAGCTTTGGACACAACAATAGACAGAAACAGGCATGGCCTCTGCCAGTAAGAAGCTTACAGGTTAGTTGTAGAAGTACAGTAATTATACACCCTCAAAATGAACATAAAAATACAACTGTCAGTGCATGTAGTACATGCTGCTGAAAAAAGAGGTCCCTAGGAAAAAGGGTATTTGTGACCTAGTTAGAGAAGGTGATTTGTGAACATAATAGCTGAAATCTAAAGGACATTGCCTAAGTCACTGGTTTTCAACAGGACTGGTGGTAACAGTAGGGGCTGACATGGAACACTTGGCAATGTACAGGATAGTCCCCCATTACAAAGAATTATCTGACCTGAAATGTCGATAGTGCCAAGGTTGAGAAACCCTGAATGAGGGAAAGGGAAAAATCAGGAGCAAAGACCAATGGTGGGAGAGCCAAGCAGAGAAAACTGTAGAGGATAGACCATTCAAGGCTATACAGACCATGTTAAGCAGTTTTAGCTTTATCTTAAGAATGAAAGGGAAAACAAGTCATTCTTACAACGTATGGATTTGAGTGGCAGTTAGCTGTACGTCCTTCAGAATTCTCTCAAGGCACAATAATCTCTAAGAACAGATGCAATGTCTTCTTTGTATTTAAAAAATAAGGGACAGGAATATGCCTTCTTTCTTTTTGAATGTGATGTATAGTGACTTATAAACCACTTTTTTATTTTAATTTTTATTATGTTCCTTTCTTTTTCTTTTTTTTTTTTGGTGGAGGAGGTAATAAACCACTTTATTTGTAAGAATTCAGGCAACAAAAACTGGAGTAATTAAAATTTAATTCACAAGCTATAATCTATATTTCCAATCAGAAACTGAGCAAGTAATAAAATCAGTGGCTGACTCCATGGAGTATATTCTCAAGAATATATTTTCCCTCAATTATTACATTAATACTATACAGAAAAAACCAAAAATGATTTTATTATAAAACATATATAGAAAAGAGTAAATATAACATATAATGTGGTTCAAAGAGTAATAAAACTCATGATCTCACTTCCAAGTAGTAATTTTTTAATAGCAAAAACTTTTACAAATATTTTGCTTTATAAGTGGCTTTTATTTATTTTTTATTTTTTCCCTGTTTCTTTTTCTTTACTTTTTTTTTTTATAAGTGGCTTTTAAAATAAAGATTTGTATTAAAACTACATAAAGGGCATTTGAAGTTAAAATTTTTCCACCATTGGGCAGTTACACTATTAAATGAAAAGAAAACCTCTCACCTATAAACACCAAATAAAAAAATCATATATTGAAAAAAATTTCATTTAATATCTGGCAG